CCCCCCCCCTTTCAATTCCATTTATAGAGCAGAATAGTCAAGGAAGGTAATTGTGCCAACGCGAAGACAGTAGTGCAATGGTGAAACTTAGAACTCAAAGGATGCTACATGGGAAGGACTGGGATTACATTATGTAGCGATGTCCGAGTTCATTACACAACAAATGCAAATTGAAATATTTCATAATAAGCTTCTCACAGCCTGATTATTCGTTTCCTACAGCTTCTACTGCTAACGGTGAAGGAATAAATAGAGGAATTTTATGTATAAATACAACAAAATTGTGTATGAACATCGTAGGCAGTCCACTACTGACTAATAGTTGACAGGAAGACGGAAATTTACATATTGCAAAAGTTCTGTATTTTTTCACTTATAAGATATAGGACCCGACCTAGACATTGCAAACCTTGGCAATGGACTGGGACCTGTGCTTGCCGAGGTTGAGCTGTCCACATGTTTTAATTTGCGAGTTGCACTGTATTCCAACGGTCCAGATCGCCTAATATTTCGAGGTTTATTTTCAATGGTTCCACTTTCTGTATCATATAGTTGATCCTGGGCATGGCTTGAGGATGGCTTGAAATAACCCGAATCATTAGAATTTGACTGAGCAATGGAATCACCGCGAGGCTGCCTCATTGCAGGGGATGAATGTGCCAGCGATACAGCCGGAGAATGGCGGGGTGATCCACTAAGTAATGCAAGTGGCGCTGGAGATGAACTTCCATAGTATTGACTGTATATTGAGCGGATAATAGAGTAAGGAACGTAAGCGTCCAGTGTGCTCCTTGGTAGGTAAGGGGAGATCTCACAAAACTGGTCCAGGAAAATGAGCTTTGACACGAGATGGGATCTGAGCAAAAGAGGTATACACACATTTCAGATTTTTGAACATTATAAGACAAGTTAGAAATCAACCCATGTTTATGCATGACATTACATGAAAGAAACAATGTGCCCATCAACTTCAGTCAAAACAGAATTCTAGTTTTAACCAAGGTTTTAAGCTCAAAACTAGACCAACCAATGGTTGATAAACTGCCAATGGAGGTGTGGTGCGACTTAGTTGGTCTTGAATATATTTCAACTTTGCACAGGCTGCCTATATGATTTTATTAACAGTATTTCTAACACTTGAGTGAACAAAAAAGAAAGGAGGTCGATTATCACAATTTTACGATGACCTTATGTAGACACTTTAGAAACATGCACATACCTGATGTTCTCACCCCAAGAGTCGAGAATAATTCCAGATGAGAACTTCACAAAGAGCTGCATTGTGGATTTTATGTTTGTCTCAACAGTTATTCGGTTGTGTGTTTCAGGATCCAATGTCTCGCCAACATGGCCATTTGAAAAGGATTGTTTCATCTGATGCTCTCTTTCAAGTCTAACAAATTCACTTCCTGCTATTACTGCAGAAATACACCTGCCAGAAGAAAAACCAAGTTACAGAATAAGAATAATGGATCAATCAGAAAGACAAAGCACTTAACTTGTGAAATGTTTTTAAGCATACTTCATCCAGGGAAAAAGGTTTTTAAGTATGCGCATGCATTGCCCAGTACTAGTCACATGATGATCTACTTTGCCATCCATGGATGGATTTTCAAGAAATAACTGTTAGTTCACTTGATATAGGCATAAAACTAGAGTTTACCAAATAGGTCACATTGAGAGAAGTTAAGCTTCTTTTTTCTCCTGTGACTCCAAAAGAACCCAAATATTACTCTTTGAAACAGAAAAAGGTTTAGCACCATAGACAGCGAAAACTGCCAAAGGTATTATATGAAGTGTGCAACATATGATCTAAGACTGAAAAACAGGGATCAAGGAATGCACAGCAAAAAGAGAAAAGAAAGAAACTGGCATAGCTAAGAAAAATCTGTAGAAAGATGGAGGAGCAAAACTTCCTCATAACTTAACACACAAGAGATTTTAAGCAAGAAATGAACCTTGCCAAGCAATAGATGTTGTTGCTGAAGCTCCCAGTGTCAACATTAAAGCCACTACTGTTCCATATATTAGATGTCATTAGAGTGGCAAACAAATACGGCAACAAGCTCCAGGAAGCATCATTTGCACCTCCAACCTCCTCTAGTATGGATCTGACCCACTCAGCGTCATGGTCACCAGCTATATTAAAATTGTTTGCTACTCTTTTCAACCTTCTAATCTCCTTTTTCTCAGGTATTTCATCAGGTAAATGCTTAGCAGCCGCAGTCAGTAATGAATGTATCAAAGGAGCACCTTCTTCAAGCACAGCTGTACCAGCTTCTGCAAGAAGGCGGTCAAAAGCAATGGCCTGCCCAGCCTGAATACAGAACCCGACCATAGTGTCCAAATCAACTATTTGCTTGATATTTGTGTCTCTGTCTATCCGGTCACCACAATGCATGCTTCCAGCAACAGCCTCCAGATTCTCTCTGTTTGCCCGTAATGATGTGTCAATACAGTTCAAGAGAGCAGCTGTGTGCTCTTTCAGCATTCTGTCTAACCTGTCAACTCCATAACCACCAAAAACACGAACAAAGGCTTTCAGTTCCCTGAGATCCGTCACTGACTCGGCAAAATATCCGCCAACTGGCCTCGTGCTCTTGAAGCATCTGTGCCGAGGCGCAAAGAGGATACCTGCGCCTGAGACGTCCTTGACCACGTTTTCAATGTACCAGTTACATACAGTTTCAGTAGCTGATCCTGTATGCTGCTCTGCAGCTTTCTCAAACAAGTGTAAGGATGAAACTGGACCACAGAATGCCTCCGTAAGTAATATCTCTCGGATACCTTGTGTCAGGTCCATGCTAATGTGTTGTTCTGCTAGATGAACAATAGCTGTATGTCTGCGTATCAGTGATTCCAAGACAGTAGGACGCTGAAGATCATTATCACTTTTCAGAACAGCAAGCAATCTCCTCCTGAAGTTCCCTAGGATACATTCTCTCATGTACTGCAGTATAGATATTTTTTTAGGAAGAAATATTAGTAAGAAATTTTTTAGAGAGGGTTAACTTAAAGTTCGTCTCCATGGACTAAAGATAAACCGATACAAGTATATTTAGTCTCAATTTAGTAATCCAAAAATTCTTCCCTTCTTTCTTGAACTCCGTGTCCAATGAAACGGAGGGAGTAAGACACAATAATGATCCAGATCTAGACATCTCTCTGACACAATCATTTCAAGGGTGCACGGAGGGAGTAAGACACAATAATGATCCAGATCTAGACATCTCTCTGACACAATCATTTCAAGGGAGAGGTTTCTTACCTCCCTCAGAACAAAAACGTGGTTTAGAACACAGATAGGCTCCATGTCGTTTAAAACTGAGCAAAGGTTGGTCAACCTCTGCATTGCAGCTTCTAACCTATCATTACAAAGTACAAGGAAGTCAAGTGAGCAAAATTGTAAGAAAGATGGTTGGTTATCTAATAGTATAAGATTAATATGACTTACATTTTTATGGAATTATCATTTTCAGGGTAGCTCTCATAGCCTGGCAAATGATAACCAGACATGGCTCTTGGGGATTTCCCAGAAGGAGCAGAAATTCTGGAAGTCAAATTCATGAGATGTGCTGCCTGCTCTGGAAAAAGCTGAAATTTCACTTGAATTTTAGTCTTGAAAAGAAAATTCATGTCTTTTCAATGTGTTGAGAACATGATAAAGGATACTAACCTGCATCTCTAAAGAGCCAAATCCCCCTTCCGAGTCAAGAATATTTATCAACCCTTCCAAACCTCCCATGATAGATTCAATGAGGGATTCAACATAGAGAACCGCATCACGACCAATTTTAGTTACCTGCAATCAACAAAGTAGCTATCATCTGAGTGACTCTTTAACTCAAAACATTCCAGATCAACATTTAACAATTAAAGAATTGTATTTTACTATATAATGTAAAATGACAGCATGGAACATCTTTTGGTGTACCCTTTTTAGTTACTAATACACAGGAAGACATTATGCCGGAAGAGAAGGCAACTGAAACTGCAAAAGATCACTGCCACATCTGAGCAAGATATAATAAAATTATGCTCAATTTTTTTGAAACTTTCATTCTGCAACTGTACTTTTCCCAAAATAAGAAAGAGATCCTTCACGAACACAGTTGGGAGAGAACAAACAATCTGTTAATGATGTTACAGAAGAGGGCCACTAAGATAAGTTATCACCTGAAAGCTCTCTAGGCTGTTGGGCAGTTAGAACCCTGAATGTCACGATCCATTACCATCCACACATGAAAAAGAACATGATGATGCTATCGAAATAGTAACTGGGAGTATCTAGAGAAGACATGAGCCGCGAAGAACTCAGACAGTCTTAAGCATTAGTGATCTCTTCACAGATTGACATTTCACTCTAGACACTTAATTGAAGTTCTCCTAGCTTTTCTCTCCTCCTCTCTCAATTTTCGTTAGATTGACTTCTTAGACGCATGCTATATCCAATATCAACTGTCAATGGAAGGTTAGAGAATTAAGAGGTTGATCAGAAGCGTTAGGTTAAAGAAGATTCGCCTGAATGTAAACCCATGCACTCACTCACATCTAACAGTTTGATATTGGAGGAATCATGTATTAAGAAGTTGAACATAATTTAAAACAGTGATACCACAAAGTGGAAAGATAAATATAACGAATTAGGTCATGGTTAACCCACAAAAAGATTAGAAGCATCAAACTACATGTGGCTGTAATCCTTCTGATGAAACAAATCATGCCCCCAGTGAGTTGAGTAAAACATTTACAAGCACCTTAAAAATTCAAGTTACCATAATACCTCTTCGGGGACTATTGAAG